AATAGATTTTTTTCTCTTAAAGGTCTTGAACTATTTTTAACAGATAAAGACAAAATAACAAAAGACCCAAGGTCATTTTAAATGGTTATAGAGGAAATATTTAAGGTAATTGGACTTTGAGAAGGTTAAAGGGACAAAAAAACAGATAAGATTCCTCCACTTGACTTGGTAAACACTACCACCAGTAGACTGTGATGGTGTTACAGTTATGTATAAAAAATGTAATAAATAGAACTACTGATGCACTTTTGGGGTCCCCTAAGGAGTCCCACTGGAGGGGTACCCCAACTGCCACACCTGATGACTCCAGTTTGAAAAACCAGACAGATCATCTCCCCAGTTCCCTAAATGACAGTTAGGTTTACCTCTTCAGAGGCAGGAATGACGAGGACAGGAGCTAGGAACTGGCTGGGCAGCTTAGGGGTAATCACCCCAAAAGCAGCTGTTCCAAAAATGCCCTTGTTTCTCTGGCCAGGAATACCAGAGGGAGACCTGGTTTCTTATTTATTCTAAATGAGCACCCTGCCTCTGGGCTCTATGTTTGAGTGGGAACTAAAACCTCAACCCAGACACTAATGCCTTCTGATGAACAGCTTTGGAACTGGTTCTCTAGATTCTCAAGGTGGAAATGGGTTCTATCAGGTCCTCAATGTTCGTCCTTCTCCTAAATGATGTCAGGGTTACCTCTTCAGAGCAAGGGATGTTGAAGGCCCATTAAGGGAAAGCTGTAGACTCCTAGCCAAAAGAATGAAATCTACCTCTGGGTGGAGAGAGGACTTTGTCTCCTTTAAGAGTCAATTTTTGTTTGTTTTTTTTAAATGGGTCTTTTTGCTACTCTAACATTCACCCTCTGAAGAGGTAACCCTAAAATCTTTTAGGGATTAGATAAGAGCTCCCAAATACTTTTAACATTTTTGGCCTTTGGAACAGAGTATGTTGCTAAGAGGCCCAAGGACATTTTACTTTTAGCCAAGAAACTGGCTACTTTTCTTTGGACTCTTTTTACCCTAACTGCCTAGCCAGTTCCTACCTCCTATTCTTATCACACCATCCTCTGAAGAAAGAAAAAAAAGAGGACATGAAGTTGTCAGAAAAAAGTGATGGGGAGGTATGGGAGGTGTTGGAGGGCAGGGAGTGGGCGTGGATTTGATCAAAACACCTTATATGCATGTACGAAATTCACAGTAAAGTTTTTTTTAAGTTAAAAAAAAAAAAGAGTCAATCCTGTTGGGCAGGTCAGTCACTATGCCAAGAGATCTCCTTTCAGGAAGATGGAAGATGGGTTCTCCTTAAGCCACACTAAAGAGTTGGGAACAATCATTATCTCTCTAATGAGATAATGTTTCCTTCCCAGAGTCTCCACCGTCTGTAGAGTTGTCTAAGAGCCACAGTTATGCTGCCCACTTTTCTGAATTATTCAAGTATAACTTTCATTTTCTTCTGTCTGTCTCTTTTCTGAGCATGCTTTCCCTGACATTTTGGGCTTCATTCTTTCCCTAAAGCTCTCCTCCTGTGATGTGGCTGCTTATCCATGTGACTGATCTCCACGGTGGCCTAGCCCAAATGGCATGGCTTTTTCTCTGACTCTGCCGAGATTTACAGTTTGTCTGCTCCTAGGGTTTTTCTTTTAAAATTGTCCTTGAGGCCCATTTTGAGTTCTTAAATTCTTTTGCTAACAAGACAAAGAACCTCAAGTGGGGACCCTGATTTCCTTGGTAACAGAAGACACATGAAGAAACACACTAAAAATCTCTGCATAGATTTAAATGGAATGCTAAAAAGGATCATGTAACTTACAGGAAGGTGAGAAAATGAAATCAGAGGAGTTTATAACAGAGAGAACAAACAGAAAACCAACACACAGAGAGTAGACTTGAATCCTAGCAGATTAATAAGAACATTAAATACAAACAGTCTACATGTGCCAATGAAAAGACGGAAAATGGCAGAGAGAGTGAAACATAGAAACATCAACTAAAGATATTATGATCGTGTCAATTTTCAGCTAGTCAGGGTCTGGAATCACCTAGCAGGCAGGCCTCTAGACAGTCTCATGACCTCTAAACTAGTTTGTGAGGGATTATCTTAATTAGATCAATTGAGGTAGGAAGACAGCATAACTAGGTAGCCCCATTTCCAGGACAAGAACCCTGGATTGTATACAATGGGGAGAATAAGCTGAGCACACATACATTCATCCCTCTCTGCTTCCTGATTGTGGATGCAATGTGACCAGCTGTTCAAGCTCTTACTGCTTTGACTTCCCTGCCATGATGCACCTCAAGCTGTGAGATGAAATAAACCCTGTCCCCCTTGGGCTGCTTTTGTCAGGGTATTTTACCTCATCAATGTGAAAAGAAACTAAGACAGATACACTGTCTATAAGAAACTCACAACAAAATGATATATAATTTGGAAGTAAAAGATTAGAAAAGACATGCCATGAAAATATTAACCAAAAGAAGCCAAATGTGGTTACATTACTATGAGTAAGTAAATATAAAACAAGAAAAATGATTTGGACCATTACATAGTGATGAGTAGAAGATCCAAGGGTAGTACCACTTTGTATTCACCGAGGGTATTCACAGCTGTATGCACTGAGAAAGCAGCTGCAGGATATGTGGAACAGAAGCCAACAGAACTGAAAGAGGTAGACCAATCTACAACTATTGCTGAATGCCTCTCTCTCCACAATTAATGGAGTAAGGACACAGAAAACCAATAAGGATAGAGAAAAGCTTTCTACACTCTCAACCAATAGACCATTATCAATTCAATTAGAAAATGGACAAGCTGTAGGGAAAGACATTTCACCTAAGACAATATGGGATGACAAAAAGTACATGGGATAGTTAATATCATTCATGGTTAGGGAAATGCAAATTAAAACCTCAATGACATCACTATCCATCATTTAGAATAGCTATAAGTTAAAATATACAGTTATGGGCTGGAGAGATGGCTCAGCAGTTAAGAACACTGGCTGTTCTTGCAGAAGACCCGGGTTCAAATCCCAGCACCCACATGGCAGCTAACAACTGTCTGTAACTCCAGTTCCAGGGGATCTGACAGCTTCTTCTGTCCTCCGCAGGCATTGCATGACACGGGTGCACTTACCTACATGTAGGCAATATACACATACACATAAAATAAAAATAATGAAATATTTTAAAAAATACAGTGACAATACCAAGCAGTAGCAAGGATGTGGGGAAACTGAGTCACACATTATTAGTAGAAATGTAAAGTGGCACCATCACTCTGGAAAATGCACTGGAAATCTCTTCAAATTTTTAATATAGCCGGGTGTGGTAGCACATGCCTGTAGTCCCAGCACTTGGGAGGCAGAGGCAGGCAGATCTCTGTAAGTTCAAGGCCAGCCTGATCTACATAGTGAGTTCCAGGACAGCTGGGGCTACAGGGAGACCCTGCTTCAAAAAGACAAAAAAAAATTTTTTTTTAATATATATGAACTGGAGAGATGGCTCAGTGCAGGGAGGACCTGAACTTTGTTCCCATCACCCACACGGTGGCTCACACCCTTCTGTAACTCCAGTTCCAGTTTCAAGGCATCTAAAAGTACTTTCTGGCTCTTCTGTCAACTCGAACACCACCCATGCACACAGTGTATATACTTACATGCAGGCAACATTCATACACAAAAATAAATAACAAATGGAAAAACCAAATTTAACATATACATTACAGGCTCAACAAACTTCTTGGTGTTTCCCATAGCAAAATCCAGCATGTGCTTCTCCATAGCAGCTTCATCTGTAACAGGTCAAATCAGGAACCCAACTGTTTTACAGTAAGTAAACTGTTAAATAAGCCAAGGTATGGCAAGCAATACACCCCAGTGACCTGGATGGATTTTCCGCATATTATGTCCAGTGGGGCAAAAATTGTGAAAAACTTGTATATTGTCTGATTCTGTTGATATTACCTCTGATAACTGTAGTGATCCCTTGGGGTTAGAGATGGAGGAGGGAGGAGCCAGGTGTGGTCATGAAGGACCAGGGGATTGATCTTGGTGGTGATTTTGCAGCTGGTTACAAGAATATGCTTCAGTGCTAAAATGAGTGTACACACACACACACACACACACACACACACACACACAGAGGCACGTGCACACCACATACACACCATACCCATACTCATACCCACCCACACCCACCCACACCACACACACTCATACATAAACACACACACATCTACCCATACCACCTACACGTTCACACCCTGCACACACCACACATACAACACACACTCACACCAACCTACACCACACACACTACACAAACACACCACACCCACATACCACACCCACACCCTCACTCCCCCCCCACTACGCACATCACACAAACATACTTCACACACATACACAAACACCACATTCAGTGTATCTGCCAAATTTCTAGTTTTGTACTAAGACACAATCAATGGAGAAAATTGAGTGTATGCATGAGACCTCTCTTTCCTATCACTGAAACTTCTCTTCTGTAATTATTTTTTAAATGCAGAAAGCAACCTACAACGTATTTTGTCGTTGGTGGCTGAGGCCCACAGTATTTCCTAAGTCGATCCAAAACCTTATACGCAGTTTTACAAAACCATGCTCACAGGCTAGGGCAGAGGGACGCTGGGCAGCTGCAGATGGAAGGCGGCTCCAGATGGAGGGCAGCGTTGGATGCCCTGCGGGAGGCGGGCGGGGAACTGGGTGCGTGGCGGGGGCGGCGCGGCGGAGTTCCGCCTAGGCGACTCCCAGGCCAAGTGCGCAGCTTGTGCGCTCCGGGTCCAGAAAGCTGAAGAGCTAGAGGCTTGTGAATCTCGGTGCGCTCCTAGGCTGGCTGGGAAGCGCGGAGAACTTTGAATTGCAAGCACTCCGGGTCAGTGAGACCGACTTTCCCTTGCTGTCGCCAGCCTCTCCTTCGGGGCTTGCTTTGCAGCCCGGCTTCCCTTCCCCGCCTCGGGGGCCGCTGCCGAGCCCCGACATGTCTGAGTGGAACTTGACCGCGGAGCAGCTGTCGGCGCTGCTGCGGCTACACAACCTGACGCGCGCGCAATTCATCGCGCGCTACGGGCTGCGGCCGCTGGTCCTCACCCCGAAGCTGCCCGCGCGTGCCAGGCTGGCCCTCCTGCTGGCGGGCCTGCTCATCTTTGCCCTGGCGCTCTTTGGCAATGCCCTGGTGGTCTACGTGGTGACCCGCAGCAAAGCCATGCGCACCGTCACCAACATCTTCATCTGCTCCCTGGCGCTCAGCGATCTGCTCATCGTCTTCTTCTGTATCCCGGTCACCACGCTCCAGAACATCTCGGACACCTGGCTCGGGGGTAAGACCGCCGCGCCGCCTCTCAGAGGATCCTCCCTGCCCGCATACACATTCTACGCGCCTTACATTTCTCTGTCAAGTGAACCCATGAATTCTTGGAACTTTCCTACCTGGGCTGGCTTGATGTTTTGTTTTGTTTGCGACTTGTCCTTATGCCTAGTGTTAGTTGCGTGCTTGTCCCATAGAGCATGACTGGTGGTAAGGTTTAAGAAAAGTCCAAGTGGTGGGCTGGAGAGATGGCTCAGGGGTTAAGAAAAGTCCACCGCGGTCCCTTTTCCATAATTAGAAGGATCAGACCCCCTCCAGTGTTTAAAATAAGCTATTAAGTTTTTAGGCTAATATTTCAGATATTAAAAAAATCTCAATAAAATTTTCTTTCCTTATTTCCCCAACTTCCAGGCTCACTTCCCAGTCGCTTATGTGCCTTCCAGACAAGGTCTTGCATGTATTGGCAGGTATATGGCCTTAAAACCCTTCACAACAACATGCACTGCAGAAAAATTAAAGCCTTGGTTTAGTCCTTTTTGAAATTATATTAATGGGCTTATAAAGGGAGAAGGAACAGAAAACATCTCTTTAAAGGAGAGACGAATGTCCTTACAAAAGGGAGAAGACAAGGCGACAAAACCCCTCGCTGGCTGGCGTACTGAGGGAGGAGCAGGGGTGGAGGTTAGAAAAACAGTGAGGCACCTGTTCCTTCCGAGCTTTCCAAAGACACAGGATCACTGGGATCGGGATCGGTTTGCAGTGTTGCCCTACTGCTTGCTCACAGCACACCTTGGACAGGAAGTATGAGTTCTACCCCGGCTTTCATGAGTGACTGTAGTCTTGTGGGCACACTGAAATTCTTGGAAAATGGTTGTAAATGTATGAGAAATGGATCGTTGTGCTTTCGTGCTCCGCCATTTCTGCCCTTCAGCTAATTCTTTTCATACTTGAGGACTGTCTCTTTATTCCAGTTACCAACCCGGGAGCTCCAGTTTATACTTCCAGCCTTGCTCTTTCTAATTGACTTGCACTGTGCTTGTTGTCAGTGGGTAAGGATGCTAGATTGCTGACTTCCATTTCACATTTCATGTATGATGTACTTTCTGAAAAGCATCAGTAAGTACATAGCAGGAACTTGAAGGTGACCCAATTGAATATTTAAATTGATTCATAGACTAGAAATTTTATGTTCCCTGATAAAGTAATTGTATTTGAGCGTTCTAAAGTTACTCAGCTAATTCCATCCAATTAATAAGATGAATTAATCATCAAGTAGAGCTTGGTTTTTGAGGAGATGTCATAAGAATTACTATTTCTAGGTGTTTGTACACATATTTAGCACCATGTGAATGGATCTTTTTGCTGGGAAGCAAAGAACCAGGATCTCTATTTTGACTCTAGGACATGCTAAGTGAACACGTCTGGGTCTCAGTTTTTCAGTAACATATTAGAGTTTGGAGAAGCTTTGTGTTTTTTTTTTTTTTTTTTTTTTGTCCAAAGTCGTATTTAGGAGTGATGGCTGAGGAAGTCCATACAGAGGCTCTTCCCTACAAGTACACAGGTAGACGTTTCGAAGGATGTTCTCAAGCTTTCTGTTTTCCTTTCTTTCTACTGATGGAGGATGTTTTAATTTGGCTTCTATATTCTAAAAATGGATCATATGTTGCTCATATGTTTTATAGGGCTGGTGTGAGAATAAAGTGTTTGGGCAAAAGTGTTTTGGAAAAGGTGATTATGCTGAGTAGCACACACCTATAATCCTGGCACTTAGAGATGGAGAAGCAGGAAGAGTTTGTGTTCTAGGGGAGACTGAGTCTCCAGGGGTTCCAGGAGACTGAAACCCTGTCTCAAAAACAAAACAAACAAACAAAAACCCAAAAAAGTGGCCATGTCATGGAAGCCTGGAGAGGTGTTCAAATATATTGATTCATCTACACTTATTGATCTAGGACTGGATTTATGTAATAAATAATGTCGTATAATTTGAGTGACCAACTACAGGACTGTAGAAGAGAAGAGAGGGCCTACCCTGGACAGTGACATGAAAGAGAAGCAACTTGTATGTTATAGATTAGGATAATATCCCAAAACTCCTTTGATAAATTAACAAAAGGCAGTTCCAGGTAATGTAATCTAAGAGTTAAACTTCATTCATAATTTATTCATTTGATAGAGTTATTAAGAATTTTCTTAATAACCTTGAGAATGTAAAAAATAAAGCTCATCTAGACCCTTATGAAACCTCTGAGAACAGAATATTCCTCCAAATAAGACTAAACGAGACTGAATATTCTTAGAAGACTCATTCAGCTCTTAGAACATTGGGAGTGTTGGATTTCAGGAGGTGGTGTTTGAACTTGGTGTTGAAGAATAATCTAAACTGTTTTCAGCAAAGGAAGAAGGAGTATGTGGCCACTCTAAAGATACTACATTTTAAGAACGCTGTAGTCGGGTGGCATGTGCTGATCTCTGTGAATTCGAGGCCAGCCTGGTCTACCTAGTGAGTTCCAGGACAGCTGGGCTACAGGGAGACCCTGTCAAAAAAAAAAAAGAACACTGTAGAAGGCATTTCAAGAATACACAACAGGAAATGCTAGGAAATACATAGGCAGGAAATGCTAGGAAAACACACAGAAAATGAAGCCACTGTGGCTGAAGACGAAAATAATGTTATGAAAAACTATCAATACAAATCCTTCTCAAATGCCTTTGTGGGTGAGGTCCAAGCAGCCAGAGCTCTGAGGATCACCAGGAGGCGGGTAGCAGGGGAGGGCTGGGTCCTGGAAGGGCAGCATCTTCTGTTGTAATCATTATTATCATTCATGTAATCATTATTACTCCTTCTTCAAGAGAATCCAGGAAAACAAATTTCTGTAAGAGTGACACCTACCTCAAATTTAAAAAGCAAAATGCAGTGGAGTTAAACAAAGCATCTCTGTAGCGTTGGTCATAAATAATCCATGAACTTGTACTTCGTGAATTTTCTCTGAAGCCTTTTTTTCCAAACATTTTTGACAGCAGTGAACTGCCAGTGGCTGTCTTTCTTCCTCCAGTCTGCTCTTCTCCCTTCCTGGCTTCCATCAGCACCCGCTGAGAGAGTATTTGCATTTTACTAAGCTCCTCAGCTAATACATGTGCAAAGTAAAGTTTAGTAAGTACTATTTTAAGTGGCGGTTCTCAGACCTACCTGCACAGACTCCCCTCAAGGGCTCTTAGAAATTACCTGTACCAGCCTAAGCCCAGACCAGCAATTCTCAGCTCCTTAGAGCCAGCTTGCATTGGCTTACCAAGCCTGTGTTTATCCACAGCTCTATATAGGAGCTGCTTTGGGGACATATTGTTGGCTCTAAATTTATCCTAGTGGAAATATTTAACCCACAGAAATCAACAGCTACAACATAGGCCTGCAAAACAAACAGCCAAAGAAATGAAAACACCAACCCGTCTTTTCCATCACACCACTGAGCCAAGACATTGTGTTTCTTCGGGTACCACCAAAGACAAGTAAGGTACCGTATAGCCATAAAACCCAAGTTTATCTGCGAGAATTGTACTCCAGTTAGGAGATTTACCAGATTCTCAGCGGCTACATGCTGCCCAGAAGGCAAGTAGATTTATATGAAATTCTCTTATCACTGCTTCCTGGCTCCTTGAGCCTCTGTCTCACACAGCTCCCTAGGAATCCTCGGAACGATCAGAAGCGGAGCATCTCTGCCCCAGAGCACCATGTGCAGCGTGCACTTCTTTCCTTTACACTTACGGTGTGAGGGTGGACTGGTGCTGCCATCACATTTAGAAATGGAAACTGGGGAGTTCTGTCCTTCTCTATCTGTTCGGTCAGATGCCTTCCTGGAACTTGCCTGTTCCTCTCTCAGCACCATCAGATTGTCTATAACCTCGCCTGCCTCTGCCTCCCCAGGGCTGGGAATTAAAGGCGCCCACCACCATGCCTGGAGCTATAACCCCTTCTTTTTGCCTCCTTTTCCTTCTCTTTTTATCTGTCTTCACAATGTACTAAAAAGTTCTCTAATTTCACTGACTAAATGTTTTGTTTCTAGCTAAATTTAGAATAATTGATTGTGCTCTGACCAATATTCCAGAACTCTTGACTCTTCTGTACTTTTCCATAAACTCCTTTTTCCTCTGTGTGTGTGTGTGTGTGTGTGTGTGTGTGTGTGTGTGTTTTATGTCTTTCTTTTTTGTAACCTTTCTGTGCTAGTTTATGAGCATGGAAACTTAGTATGCAATCTCTTCTTTTGTGATTCATTACGCATAGAGGCTGCTGTCAGCTCTGGTTTCTGGCAGAGCTCACCACAAACACTCTCTGAAGCCCTAGGTTTATATTTGATCTGTGGAGAAGGAGTTTATATCTGGACATCGTTATCAGCATCCAGTATTCTCTCATCATAGCTTGTACTTCTGCCCAGTCTCAATGATAATCTCTGGGTATGAATCATGGTGGTATTCATCATACCCTAGGTGGCTACTTGTACTTTGGGTGCAAGAAAGTCGTGCTCCTGTGGAATAGCCAGGTTTCACTTTGATCAAGAAGGGAAGGAAGTATTCAGAGAAAAAATGGAGAATGCACAGTGCTGGAAAGTGAGGAACCTCAGTCAGTGGGAAGGTTCTAAGCATGATGGGTTTGAGACCAGGGATAAGGGACAGTATAGGAGAGAATAGGACTTGACATAACTCAGGTCAGTGAAAACTGAGGAAAACTGAAGATCTCCCAGAATGGGGTAGAAGATCAGTTCTAACTCTAGCCTCTGTTTAAATTCTAGAAACTAATACACTGAGATGGGTGAGTTTATTGGGGCGGGGGGCAAGGTGCAGCTTTGCTAGAAGCCTGCAATGCTCTGTGCCGGTTTCGTGCTAACATGGGTGCAGGAGCAGAACAGGGGAGGTAGTCTCCCATAGTGCACAGAGGGTTCTGTGGAGCCTCTCACAGTCTTGTGGTAGACAGTGAAAATGACTTTTCTAATGCTGGCTGGCAAATTGACTGAAAGCAATCTC